CCCTCCTGGGACCAACCTTTTTCTGGAAACCTTTATTTCTCCTCTTTCTTGTTTCATCTCCTATTCAAGGTGAGGCTCCGGCTGGTTCCCAGCAGCCACCAGGTGCTCAGAACTGGCAAAAAACCCCATAAAACCTGCAGAAGTTGAAGGTTTGGGGAGGTCCCAGGCAAAGACACTCAGGCTCTGGGGACCCAAAGATGTTTTTCACATGGATTTACAGTTCAGTGCTCGCCCGCAGCTGGTAACGTATGGCACGGTGTGGAGGGAAAGGGTGGTCCTGTGTCAGAGGAAAGGGGGACAGAGCTCACCTTGGGGTGCCACATTGCACTTCCCCAGGGACTGGTTTTCTCCAAAGGACTCATGGAGAAGGGTCTCGGTCATGGCAAATGGGAGGTGGAGGAGGAGCGGGCATGGGTAGCACCCAGAGAGGTGACACCTCAATTTGGCCACCTCTCTCCTCTTCCAGATGTCACGCTTCCCTGGAAAGGTGGCTGCAGGGACTCTCTGGGATGCTGGGGATGGGAGCTGGGGGATCCATCCCACCACACCCCACAATGAGCAGGGAGAAGGAGAAAGCCCACAAACATCCCATCTTCCCACTCCATTCCTACTCCAACTCTTGCAGCTGGGCCAGCATCAATCCCTGCCCATCACCTGCAGAAACTGGGGAGGATCTGGGGTGCAATACTGGGGTAACCCCCATCCTCTACCCTCCCCAGGGATGTGGCAGTGCTGGTGGTCACATCCCTGGGCACATCCCCTGTGCTCAGCCCAGGTTTTGCATCAACAAGCACTTTGCAGACGGACTCATCTCCAGTTCTGGTGTAGAGCCATACCAGTCGTGGCCACCTCCATCAAATAACACCACCGTGATGACCACAGCCTGGGGGACACGAGGCTGGATGGTGCCCAGGGCACAGGCACCAGCTACCCCAGTGTCTGTGCTGCATTCAAAACCAACCCCGAGGGGAAAGTCCCCATTGAGGAGGATTTACATGAGCAGGAAAGAGGCTGTCTCGCCTCGCAGCAGCTTTGCCATTTTTAGGTCTGGAGGCCAAGGCGGTCGGAGGGGCCGCGGTGTAAGCGAGGGCTGGTGGCTGGATGTTTCCCTGCTGTTGGCAGTGAAAGATGGGTGATTTTTGGAGGAAGCTCTGGGTGATCCAGGTGAACCTCTGGCTGATGGCTCTGCTCACAGGTAGGTGTCAAACATGGGATTTGCATTTCACAGCAAAGAAATGTGCACCCAGGTGACGCGCGGGCGTGTGTCCCTCACTCTGTGCCATGAGGGACTTAGAATCATAGAATGGTTTGGGTTGGAAGGGACCTTAAAGCTCATCCAGTCCCAACCCCCCTGCCAGCAGCAGGGACACCTTCCACTAGACCAGGTTGCTCAAAGCCTCATCCAGCCTGGCCTTCAACACTTCCAGGGAGGAGCAACCACAGCTTCTCTGGGCAACCTGGACTTCACCCCGGTCTGGCTGTAAATGCTTCAGCTTTAAACGTTGTGGTTGTTGCTTCCAGTCCTGTTTTCTGCAGGAAATCAACTTCAGGATCAGTGGAGTCAGGGAGGACCCGCAGGGGATCAGGGCTCAACACCTGCCTCAAGTTTTGGGTTTTGCTTCCCATTAGGGTGAGGGGATGGGACACGTTTTTCTCTGGGAGATTTTTGGGGTGGCTGGTTGGCCTCAGTGGTGCCAAGAGGGTGCAGAGCCCGCCCAGCTGTGGTTGCAGGTGGTAGGAAAGAAGGGTTGTTTCCTTTTTTTTACCATTTATTGCTCTCGGAGACCCGAGGATGGGGTCAGAACATTGCTGAGGCCATGGCCAAGTCACATCCTTTTGCTCCATGGGGTTTAGTGTCTGGGAGTGGAGGAGAAATGGGAGGAAATAGGGGCCTGAAGCATCTCCCATGTGAGGAGAGGCTGAGAGAGCTGGGACTGCTCAGCCTGGAGAAGAGCAACCTGAGAGGGGATCTGATCAATGTCTATAAATATCTGAAATGTGGGGTCAATGGATGGGGCCGGGCTCTTCTCAGTGGTGCCCAGTGACAGGACAAGGGGCAATGGGCACAAACTGGGACACTGGGAGTTCATCACAAACTTAATGAAAACTTCTTCACTGTGAGGGTGTCAGAGCCCTGGGACAGGCTGCCCAGAGAGGGTGTGGAGTCTCCATCTCTGGAGATGTTCCAAACCCACCTGGACACTTTCCTGTGCAACCTGCTCTGGGTGAACCTGCTTTGGCAGGGGGTTTGGACTGGATCATCTCCTGAGGTCCCTTCCAACCCCACTAGTCTGGGATCCTGTGTGAAAAAGGCTTTTGGGGGTGATGTGAGGATCTTGTGTGAACATCTCTGTGCTGTTCCCCTTTGCATCCCCATGGAGAAGCAGCAACTAAACCCAGGACACAGCTCCTGGCCCTTTCTAACCCCTCTTGCTTGATGCAGGGACACCCATAAAAACCTGCAGCAGACCCCACCCTCAGCTGGGGAAACTTGTTCCCTCAGGAGAAAGAGTATTGAAAGGGTTTCTGTTTGGTGGCCACTCAAGTCCAGCAGAGATTCCAGGTCACAGGGTTTCATCTTGGCTCTCATGGTGACTTTGAGGGAGGACAGAGGAAGCCCAGCCCACCCACGGTTGCCATGAAAATCTTGGCTTTGAAGGGTGTGAGGACTTTCAGGGTGAGGGACCACCCTGGTCTTTGTTTAGAAACATCAAGAAAACATGGAGAGCAAAGCCCTGTGTCCTGGCTGGCTGGGACACGTACCCAACGCATGGCCTGGACAAGGTACATCTCATCTCAGAAAAAAATGAAATGAGGCTGGAGAGGAGGGTTTGTCTGCAGAGATGCAGGTGCTGGAGGTGGACAGGGCAGCACAGACCTGGAAGAGGCTCTGGGACAGGGAGGGAAGCCCACGGCTGAGCCAGGAGGTCTCTGCTGAACTGCTCTTCAGGGCAGGAAGGTCTGTAGAAGGGTAGCAAGGTTCAAGGCAAAGCTCAGGCTGAGGAACTGAACCTTCCTCCTCCTTCTTCTTTCTCCTTTCTTCTTTCTTCTTTCTTCTTTCTTTTTCTTCTTCTTTCTTCTTCTTCTTGGGGGGAGTTTTGCAGCTGCCCCATCGTGCTGGGAGGTGGTGCAGCCCCCACCTCCATGCCAGCTTCTCCATGGTGGGGTTTGGCAAATCTTCATCGAGCTGATGGAGCCAGGCACTGAAGCGATGCGGTAAACAGGGCTGGTGCTTCCTGCCCAGCTGCAGCAAGAGGAACTGAGGCACAAGGGCTGTGGGCAGGGGCACCCAAGGGTGCTGGGGGGTCCCCACCTCACCCCACTTCCTGCACTGCATTGCAGGTGCCACAGCTCCATCCAGCCTTTGTCTTGGGGTCTGAGAACCTCTCCAGTGGTCATCACGGGGCTCCAAGGTCAGGGAAGCCCCATCAGAGAAAGTGTTTCTGGTTGATTCAGAAGATGGAGAGTGTAAATAACGAGGTGTGAGTCTGTCCAGACACTTTCTGGAAGGTGCCAGCCTGGGGGGATATTCATAGCAAAGGCAGGTTTCAGTGGGACATCAACCAGAAAGCGGCTTAGACCAAAGTCAGGAGATGGGATGGAAATGGAAAGGTTTGCAACCACATCTCCACTGCTCTGTGTCCTCTGAGTGGAGCTCTGGTTGATGCTCCCAAGCACTCCATCACATACAGGGTAGGCACAAAGGACCTGTGGTAGATGCCATCCCAAGTGGGACATCCCACATGGGCATGTCCTATGTGAGCTCTTGGCCAATATCTCAGGGCCCTTCTCCTATCTTACAGGTGGGACCTCAGCAGAGGAGAACAGCACCAGAAGCAGCACAGGTAATCTCTGACCCGTTGGGCTCTTCCCTACGTGTGTCCCCAAGGTCCCTCCTGTCTCCACCAGCTATAAGCCTGCAGAGCTGGAGATGTCCCACCACCCACAGCCCTTTCCCATCACAGAGGTGATTCCCAGGCTGTGAGCTCCTCCGTGGCATTGCCCCAGCCCTGCACCTTGTTTTCCCTCTGCAAAGTTGAATCCATTTGGTCTTTCCTAAGCGCACACACATTTTTCCTCCGCGTTCACAGAGGACATTGCATGAACAAGCCGTGCTGAGGGACCATGTTCAATGACACAGTGTTTGTGCCATTCCCACCCATGGGGAACTCTTCCACCCAAATAAGTCCTCAAACTCAAGAGCTCTGGGATCAAAACATGGGCAAAAATTACAAAATACAGCAAAATGTGAAGAAAATGTGGAAGTGTGAGAGAAGGTATCTGGGGAGATGGATCTGTCCTAGCAAAGGCTCCATGGTGTGTGCCAGGACAGGCTCTTCATTTTGGAGCTGGGACTAATGAGATGTCCTTAGAGAGGGGTGGGAGCAGCAAAAAAGTCTCCACAGAAAATTGGAGTTTCCACTAGAAGTATATTTTCACAAAAAGTCTCTGGTTTCTACCCCCAGCTGCTGCTGATTCACCAGAACAAAGCTGAATGCTCAAAACCAGGATAATCCAGGGAAAATGGAGAGCTCTGGATTTGGGAGATGCTGGGGGGATATCCTGGGAGTGGGGTTTTTTTTTTCTGGTGCTCCCCAGGTGCTGGGTCCCTGCTTGCTGTGACCACCTTTGTCCCCTGGCAGGTGATGGATGCCCCATGGTGCAGCAACAACCACGCTACATAGCGGCCAAGAAGAACATGCCCGTCCACTTCATCTGCTACTCCCGGGAGCCCCATAACATGCAGTGGTACAAAACAGCAGAAGACAGCGATGAATTCTACGAACTGGACTACAGCAACTCCCGCTACAGCATCGAGAGGAAAGACAACTTCATCAACTTCACCATCTTCAAGATCAAGTACGAGGACAACGGCATCTACGTGTGCGGTAGCAAGAACCTCACAGCGGAGCAGGTGTCGCAGTTGTGCGGGACGGAGCTCAGAGTCATGAGTGAGTGGGAGCTCCCCATCCTCCATGCACCCCAGGAGATGATGCTTCTTCTCTTTCTTTCACCCTTTCCCTCTCCATATGAAGCCCACATCACACTCCTGTGCACCTACCTCTCCCCATGCTGGTGGGACCCCATCAGATACAACTGTAGATCCTCCACAGCACCACAGAGGTTTCTTTGCTCATTGCCAGCCCCCAAGCAGCAGGAGAACCTCCCCGGTGTGCCCTGGCTCATCCATCCCACACAAACACATCCCAGGGGCTGCATTCCCCTCATGAATCAGATTTTTCTTGGTCCTGGCTAGTGGTGGGTCCTGCCCAAGGTGTCTCATCCCAGAGCTGGTCCCTGATGCCAACCCTGGGGGCAGTTTGCAATGCTCTGCTCTCTCCCGAGGGGGAGGGATGTCACTCTGGTCCCCCCCATCTGTCCTTGCTGACACACAAACCTGTGGTCACATTGAGCTCATCCCCACTCCCCAGGAGCTTGTCACAGAGGTGGGACTTGGTGTTCTCCTTGTGCTGCTGCTCCCAGGTCACAGCAACATCCAGCAGATCCAGAGGAGAAACACCCTGAAGGACGCCATCATCATCATCCAGTCCATCCTGCTGGTCATCTTCATCAGCGTCCCCGTGCTCCTCCTCCTAGATAAAGTAAGTGACAGTGTCTCCAGCAGTGGGGATATCCCCAGCTTCACCACAGCGATGCTTACAGTGGTGTCCTGCATCCTGGGTAGGACACTGCGAGGGATGGGGATGGGCATTGGGTTTGGGGCTGGTGCATGGGAGGGTGGATGGCTGAAGTGGGGAAAAAACATCTAAATTGGGGTGTGGGGACTGCTGGGATTTGCCTGTGGAAGCGATGGGACCTGGCCTGGGGAGACAAGGAGATGGAGGATCTCCATGAGTGCTGGTGACACCCAACCTATGACTCTCCTCTCCACAGGGTGAAGGCAAGGAAATCCCAGAGGAGGACCACACCTATGAGGTAATGCTGCTGTAATCATAGAAATACCCCTGTGATATCAACCTGAACCTTGAAGTAGCCAGTTGTGCCCTTCCTGGGTGTCTGCTGGGCACCACCAGCCCTTGCAGGGTGCATCAGGACATATTCCTCCCAAGTGCGTGTTGCACATCAGCTGCAAAGAGCTACTTGTAAAACCAAGCCAAGCTCTGAGCACATCCAGCCATCCCCCTCGTCTCCCCTCTCAGAAGGTGCCCCAGCCTCTGGAGCAACAGCCTGGAGATGGGTCCCCATGTGAGGGTACCAAGGAGGGATATGGTGTGGCCAAAGCCATGGTCATCTTCCTGTGTTTCAACCTCCTTCTCGGTTGCAGGGTCTGGAGGTGGAGCAGATGGCCACCTACGAGGACATCACTCCATTCCGGGATGTGAAGGCCAAGTGGACAGTTGGGGAGCACCCGGGTGAGGAGTGAGGGGTCCTGCACTGGTGGCACGGCTCCCTGCCAGCACCCTGCCTGCACCCATGGGGACAAGCCCCCAGCTCCTGCCCTGGACCACAGCTCTGATGGGCACCTGGATCCCGGGTTGTGAGCCACCTCCAGCAGCCTTGCCTGGAGCTTGGGTCCTGCTGCCCTTTGGGTGTTGGCTTTGCTGTGTCCAGGCTGTGCCCACCAAGGCTGCCCTGCCCCTCTGTCACTCTCACCACCCCACTGACGAACCCCCAAAGCCTATGTAGAAATTAGGAGTCACCTGCAGTCCCCCCCCCAGTAGCAAACTGGCCCCAAACCCTGGGCAGCCCCACACCACGGTGCTGAGCTCCTGCATGGTTAATGCAATGGAAGTACCAAGGTGGGTGGTGGGTCTCCTTCAGCCCCACCATCCCTGGGAAGGAGAGGACCATACATGATCATTCTTCATGCTGCAAGGACCCTCCTGGGCTGCAAGACCCCAGTGCAGCCGTGGCAGAGGAGCCGAGGTGAGCAGCACCATGTGGGTGCTACAAGAAGCGGATTTTGGTCCACTCTTTAGCTCTCAGGACATGGACATGTTTTTGTCCAGCAGGCCAAGCTGGCAGTTATCTGAGATGGAGGATCCTCCAGAAGCAGCTCTTTCTCCCCAAAGACTACAGGAAAATCTGGGGAGACAGCTCTCACCCAGAGGGTCTTACACAAGCTTTGCTCCTCTCCAGACAAGCTGGCCCATGTCACGAGGATGTCCCCTTGGTGAGGGACACACGCAACTTCAGAACCTATGGGAAAGATGTAAACTGTGGGACACAAATGTCCATCTGCTTTCTGAGGTCCTAATAAAGGTAACAGGTAAATTCACATCCTGCTCCATCCTGCCATGCCTGGTCCAAGGATGTCCCATAACCCTGATGCCAGGGTCAGTGGGATGCCCTGGGAATAAGGAGCAGCTTTTCATGGGTCCAGCTTAGCTAGAAACCAAACTTCACCTCATCAGGGCCCCAAGAGCAGGCAGGGATGTAAAGCTGAGACCAGCTGTGGAGCTCTCCTGGAATGGGGTGACCTCCACAGCGCCAAGACATCAGTTTGGGATGAGAGACAAAGACCATCACCAGGAACCAAAGCAGGAGAACAGACCCAGGGCCAGGAACTTCGCTCCCGGCTACATCTAGTCTTGCAAGAGAAGCTACAAAACATCTGGAGAGGAACAGAGCGGTGCTAATTGGTTTTGTCAATAGAAACTCTTTTGGCAGGGCAGCAGCAGCCACGTGGGTGATGGGGCGCAGGGCTGGCTGGACACCCAACACCAGGGCTTGGGGGGTCTGGAGAGGCATGACCAGCACAGCATGGTGGGTTTGGTGGGTTTGGCTGGATGAGGGAGGACAAGGGGGTGACGAGGACTGTGGGGCTGAAAGCCTCTCCACCCTCGGAGAGCCCTGTGCTCCTGAGGCTCGTGATATTTTGAACCCTGAGGAGAAGACAACAGGATTACTCCACTTCCCAAAACAGCCAGCAGAAAAGGGAGGGTAAAATTGGGAGCAAACAGGGCTTTTCAGCAGGGAACAACCTGGTTCTTGTGACACAGCAAACCACCTTCGTGGAAAACTGGAATTCCATGGAAATAGAACAAAACCAGCACTTCAAGGTTGATTTTTCCTAGTTAAAATAAAACCATCCCAAATGAGCTGCGTGCACATGTACAGAAATGTTACTTAAACATCTTTTATTTATAAAATTGATTCATTAAAGAAAGGAGAGTTCACAGTGAGAGAAGCAAAGTGACTGTTCCCAGTTTCCACATTTGCCAAGATTTTAGAACCAGTAGAGCTCATCCCTCCATGTTACCAGTTAGGAAATGGAAGAGGAAGGTGAGTTTTCCAACCTTCCCTGTTCCCAATGGCTTTCTCAGCTCTGCATAAGCACCTCACTCAACTGACTTCACCAAATAACAGGAAAATAAGGAGAAGCTGCTGTTTGCACCTGGAGAGGAAACCACTGATGTCAAAAGCAGTTTCAACAACCCCGGTTCCGCTCTGCTGTTTGGTCACCAACTTAGCCCAGGGCTTTGGCTTCCTTTAAAACACCAGAAGCAAATAAATACTTCTGCAAATAAATATTTCTGCAAATAAATAAATAAATAATAATACATAGTGTTAGTATTTTATTTTAAATGCTTAGACGAGTTTCTAGGGAGTCTAGAGATAGGCTTTGTTGTCATTTTATATTGAGGTAGGTTTGTATTTTCAAGGCATTTAATGTAAATATTTTTTTTTTCAGTGTATACAGTCCAGGCTCTGTATTTTGTCCTGATTGTGTATCCCTAATGCCAGGAGGATGGTCAGGCAGACACACTGGGTTGCAGTCCTGGATATCTTCAGTCTCATCTTTAGAAATGGGTTTAATGAAACTGAGCAGTTCCAGTTCCAGTAAATAAAACCCTTTTTATAAGGGCAGTTAGTGACAGAACAAGGGGTGATGGCTTGAAACTGGAAGAGGGGAGGTTTAGATTAGATATTAGGAATAAATTTTTCACTGTGAGGGTGGTGAGACAGTGTCCCAGGTTGGCCAGAGAAGCTGTGGCTGCTCCTCCCTGGAAGTGTTCTCGGCCAGGTTGGATGAGGCTTTGAGCAACCTGGTCTAGTGGAAGGTGTCCCTGCTGATGGCAGGGGGGTTGGGACTGGATGAGCTTTAAGGTCCCTTCCAACCCAAACCAGCCTGGGATTCTGTGATTCAGTCCAAAAAGGAATATTTACCTCCTGAGCAGTGAGCTGTCAGGGGCAGTCAGCCATCACTTAAAACCTTGGTCAACCCTGTTGTTTGTTGCCCACTGAAGAGCAGAGCCTGGCCTGGGGGTCAGCAGTTGGCTCCTCGGTCAGGATTCACCGGCTGCAGCTCAGCCCTCAGCTCAGTCCCTTCCACACCCCAGGCTGGGGGGTCAGCAGGACCCAGGGAGTTCACACGCCTGCAAGGAAAGTTGCTTCACTTCTTTAGATGCTGCTGGTGACTCTCAGGGGAAGGCGGGTGGACACGGGACCACCCTGAAGAGAATTCAGATTTTTTTATTATTATTATTTTTTTCTTTCAATAAAGAAAAGGAACTTGGAAATCACAGAGCGTCCTGCTGCTTTATGAGATGTTACTTTCAGTTGCACATGCAGGCATTTGAAAGGCAGAAAAAAATGCCAAGCTGATATTTGAGAGCTGCTTATGCAACCAGAATATTCTGTCAGTGGTGTGTCTTTGCCCAGCTCAGCATTTCACAGTCACGCACTGCCTTCTCCACAATGCTTCTGCCTCATTTAATGCCTGGAGATGATCAGGGACAAACCAAGCCTCAGGGGCACTTCACAGTCTAGATCATCTTGGCATGTCCGTGTTTGGTTGTAAGATATAAAAAAAAAATGTTGATTTAGCACCATGTTTTTATTAACAGAGCCAGAGAGGCAGTGGGGCAGCAAGTGATGGGCAGGACTTGGGTGCAAGGTGCTGGTACCCACCTTGCTGCAGTGGTAGAGCATCAGCAGGTAAAACAGGCAGCAGAGCCCATGCTCTGCTCATCTCTGACAAATATTGACATATTTAAATATCATCTGGAGTGAAAAAAACACCCCCAGATGTTGCTGGCTCTTGGGTGACGGGATACCTGATAGCTGCAGGACCCACTGTTCTCTCTTCTCAAGGGACTGACATTTATTCTGTGACACCACCACGTCTCCAGCGAGCAAACACCCAGGGGCTTCTCGGAATAATCGCGCTTTCCCTGGCATGTTTATTAAGCAGCTCTTGCACCCTCTGCTCCCACCACCTTGGTGATGATGATGCCTCTTGGAAACCAGAGCCATGACATGGGGACATGACAAACCTGGCAGAACCAAATCACCACCCCAAGAGCAGTCCATGAACCTCAGTCAACGGGAAAAAACACTGTGGTTTGGGACAATCAGTGCCTTATGGGGAGTAAAAGTCCTTTAAGCCCCTCCTGGAGTTGCCCATCCCAGGTTCTGTCTTGTTTTGTTCCAAATAGGTGTGCAGTGACCTCTCCTCTTCCCCATCTGCTCTCCTTCCTTTCCACACTGCTTAACCCACAGATATTTCACGTTTACATCGCAGGCAAGAGCAGGAAGATGCTCCTAACCAGATCCTCTCACAACCTTGTCCAGCTGAGGATGTGAAGAAACCTCCCAGAGCTCTGGCATCTGGATTTGCAGTGGGCAGGCTGGTACCCAAACAAGCACCTGGGCATGACAGATCTTCGTCACACCTATGGCAAAGCAGCTCACCAAAACTATTTGCTAAACTTTTCAAGTTTTGGTAGAAATTGAAAGAAATTCTTTGGTAGAAATAGCATTCATCTGACAATGTCCATCCAGCTCTATCCCCACTAACAAAGGGGAAAACATCCCACTTGCTTTGAGTCAGAAGTTTCCCAAACTGGCCAGTCAACCCTGTCAACTGCAGAGCCAGCCAGGAAAATCAGGTGGATTTTTGACCCCCTACACTAAATTCCAACCATAAAAGCACTGATCTGATTTGGGATGGATCTTCCAACCACGATAAAAACCTTTCTTTGCAATAAACAGCAGAATATGGTGAAATCATTCCGTACTGATTTTACCCCTAAAGCAAACAACCTCCCAACCTTTCCATCTCTGTATAAATGACTACAATGAGGTAGCACCATCGCGAACACTTGTGCATTTATGCACAGAGAAGATACAGAGATGTTGTTGTGATCATGAACACATATATACATTTTAAACAGCCCCCCTACTATATAAGGGCTGACTCAACAGTTACCTTTACCAGCTTAGATGAAAGGAGGAAACATTCGCTCTCAAGCAACACCTGAGCAACTCACCGGGCAGAAATGGCTCCAGGTACTTCTCTTAATTTCAGTTTTAAAGGATTGCCAGTGCTGCTGCGTGTTTAGGGTGATGGGAGATGGTGATGGGGTGGTACTATGGTGGGCTATATACACTCCGTGCCAGCCCTAAATTCATAGAACC